TGGCTCTAAAGAATATATAATAGCACATAAGCTACTTTTTATCCCGGAGAAATGTACGGTTTCCGTGGGATAGATTTGTTTTTGTTTTTCTGGAGGCCATCATAAGTGAAGCGAGGGTGAGCCGCTAGTATTTGATCGATATATAATACTTCTTTTCTCTTCTTAGGTAGAATTAAATAAAAAACCAATGTTTATATAGATAGCATTTTTTATTTCTTCATGTTTCCTATTTTTTTAACGATATATATTTAATGATACATACATATATCGTTAAAAATATAATATCGATAAAAAATGCATACAAGGCAATTCTCCAAGTAATATCAATACATCGGTATCTGTAATAATTTTGTTTAATGAATTACACCAATTAAAAATTGCGAATCGCAAGTTATGATATAGAGAAATTTCTAAAACATTTTCATGTACCTCACACTTTATACTCTTTACAGACTAATCCTCCTTCCTGTGTTCTCCATTCTCCGTGACATTGGCGAAGTAATCTGTGCTGAACTGGCATAATTTGAAGCCATTAACAAGAAAATTGAATTGAATAGAATAGTTGGATTTGATTGAAGCCTTTATTTTTTTAAGAACATTTGATTGTTGTAATTGATGCTCTTAAGTATTCTATATATACACAAAACTAACTTCTTAAATTATATACAATAATAAGGAAAATAAATAAAACCATGCTATTTTTTTATAATAATACGAAATGGCAGAAGCTGTGCTGTTTTAAACAGTACGCCAGTTTAAAACGGCACAGCTTCTGCCATTTCGTTTTATTTTAAATTTATAAATAAAGATGTGTTAAACTTCAGAAAATTTCTCAATTTTCATTAAATCGTTTATTGCAAATATTTTAACACAAAAAGTCATACTAGTTACATGAAAGATGCATCTAATTTAATTGGCAGTTGAACTCTATAGATATCCACTTGTGTCGAATTTGCTTGATTTGATAAAAAATCGTTTCTCAAATAAATAATATATAGGGGTGCGAGTGTACATTAATTCTTTCCTGACCAGCTGCAGCACAAGAAATTATTTCTGAAAAACTATGAATATAATTAGAAGACTTGGGTGACTCCCTTTGACTTTATATGTCGTTTTAAAGAACATTTCCATGTTTAACAGTTGGTCGCCTGAATCTTCTTCACAATTAAAAGTATTTGAATGGAATTTTATATATCTTATGATTAACTAATGTCCAAAGGTGTTTTAAAATGTGTGGCAGACTGGCAGTCTTAATTATTATATCTATAAGTATACACCCGTACCCAAAGTGAACACCCAAAGAAACTATCTAAAACGTCAGTATTAAAGTAGCGCGGGCGCATAATTTTAATGTTTTTTTTTTCACAGAAAAACTGCCGCCATCTCAGAAAGGAAGTAAAGTATAAAATACAATTAATTAATGAAGGTACTAATTTTTCTTCACCTAATTTTAACCTTATTTTTGTTAAAATTAGCTCTCCTAAAATCTATGATATGCAGAATCGTTCGTCACAACACTTTTAGTGACTTTCCTTTTCTCAATAACTCCGTAACTTTAGCTGTGGTTTCAATATAGAACTGACTCCAAGTCCACCTGAAATCCATTAACAAATACAATGATTTGTTGATTTATATTTACAACATAATTTATACTCATTCAGAGTTGTAACTTATAAATAGGAGTTGCGACACTTTTTTGTGGTCAATCATCTTCTACGTTCATTCAGGGTATAACCCACTTTTGAAAATATCCTCTCGCAAGGAGTAGACGTAGGTACCAGATTGAGCCTTCTCATGATTTAATTAAATAACAGGGGATAGATATTCTTTCGAGCGTGCCACCATTTTAAGGGGTCATCTGTACGCTTTAAAAGCGGTTCCTGGAGGTATTTATCAAGTTCTACGATTCCCGCCGCCGTCGGGTTGTCCGGTGTTTACCTAGCCACTTCTTGGTCAAACTCGAACCAAATTGAGTAACTAGGGCCAAATTCTTGTTTCACTGCGTCTACCGCTGATGTTAGATTCTGATGTATTCTTATTCTTGAGGAAGTTCGACCAATTTTTTATTTTAAGTCTTTCAGGGTCCTCTCATACAATTTGGAGTCTAGAAATCCCTTATTCTTAAAACGTGGATCCAGAATTGTAGATTCCGCATTTAATATATTTGCTTCGAGGTGACCGAATCTATGATTAAGCTCCTTTTTTTTTTAACGTTGGGAAATGCATTTACGCACGACGTGTGGGACTCACCGGCGTAATACAGCCAGCACTACCCACTAAAACCCAACAAAACCTTCCCCCGTCTTAATGAGGCGTCGCAGGATCGCTTACGCATTCAACTACGACGCCCCGACGGCAGGTCTGCCGAAGCAGACCACCACAACCATGGGGTTGCTCCACAGTCCACTCTGCTGTCAGAGAAGTACCAGGAGCAACCCGCATGGTACACCGCCCTCCGAAGAGGGCCACCTCCCACCGCCCACCGAAGTTGGCAACCTCCCTGTGCGTTTCTTAGCTTCGCGCCCGGTTGGATTGCCGGGCACTACTGAGCCCCCCCACCACGACAAGGTGAACGCACGTTGGGGGGGATGATTAAGCTCCTTGTGTAAGTGCTCGACGAGATTTTTTATTTCGGGTATATTATTTGCATTCGTGTTTTGCTCTCACAACCTATTCTTAATATGACCCAGCATAATTCTACACAATGGAATGACTTTAGCTAAAGATAATTTTTTTTCGCCGCTTACTTCGACGGTTACGTCGTAAAACATTTTTAATATGGGAGAACTGATTCAATTACCATCCAGTCACAACCAATCAGTCCAAGGTCAGGTCTGGTGAGGGCTATAGTGGATATAATAGCATCTTTCGTTGAGCAAAACCGATTCAGCATGTCGTAGGTAGAGTTCAACCTGGTGGCGACATCTTGTTTTAGTTTAAGAGGTGGAAGACTTAATCTTTACTGCATTGTGACTAATTTTTGGTTCGCCTGGGAACTGCGCTTAAAAAACTCAACGACGATTTTGACTTAAAACTAGGGCCAAATGCTGCAACGCCGACTGGACGCAGAGTTTTAAAGTATGGGCGAAGCATGGGATTTGCCGCCAATCACCCTCTCTTATAGCTGCTGTAATGTTGGCGGCGTTGTCGCTGACAATCGCAGTAATTTTGTTCTCAATATTCCATTCTTGAATAATGTCTTTCAAAAATTCAGTAAGAGTTTCACTGGCGTGCCTCTCGTTATACTCAACACATCCCAGTAAATTTGATCGTAATTTCGTGTCATCTGATGTAGAGACAACGTAATGAGCCGTAACAGCTATATAGCTGTCGTTGTTGTCCGACGTCCAGCCGTCCGTCGTGAGGCAGATTGCGTTGGCATTCTCCATCTTGTGCCTTACTTTTTCTTTCTGTTTATTGCACATTTTGGGAATTAACGATTGTGACAGTGTTTTCCTTGTCGGCAGCTTGTACCCTGGACACAACATATATACAAATTTTTTAAACTCTTCTTCTTCCACCATACTAAATGGATATATATTTTAAATTATAACTTACACTTAGACATTTATTTATATTTAAACACTAAACTAAACTATAAATTATTTACAATAAATGTCTTTCTTCTAATAATTTATTTTTTATTAATCCCGATCCGATCACGCACGAACGGAGCTGAGGTCAAGTTTAAAATATTGAAACAATAACAATCATATTTTTTTGAATTTTGTAAATCGCATTTTTTTACTATTTTTCTATACTTAAATTCATTGCTTTATGGCCCAAATTAGTTTGCATAGTTTACTAACAATTTTTAAAGATAAAGTACACGTATCTACAGTTAAACTAGCTCAACTACCTTATATTTTATGCCTTACACACTAAGCCGAATCTGTACATTAAATATTTTTTGGAAAATCTTATTGAAATAGACATTATTATCGATAGAAAGGCCGAATCTATAATTTTTTAAATTTTTGTCTGTCTGTCTGTTACCGCATCACGGAAAAATCTTGACGGACTTTTATGAATTTTTGTATGATGATAGCTGGTTATCCGGGTCAACATATAGAATACTTTTTATTGCGGGAAAATATCTCATTTCTGAGAAATCTATACTAAACGTTAAAACGTAAGTAGGGACGAACCCGAGCGGAGCGAGGGTGAGTCGCTAGTATAAAATATTTCATATTCACATAAATCTCTATAATAACCATTCAAAATAAGTTGGATAATATCGTTCGGAATTCAGATTCATTGTCAGTTAGGATTCATCAATGGAACGTCAAGCAAAAAATGATCTTATTACTTGCTACTAGGATCTTATTGTCCCTACGCATCTGTTTCATTCTTTTGCTTATACACATACTTATGTGCGAACGAGATGGATGCTACCAACTTATTTGTACTTAGAACTACAGTCGAATGGAGCAGCACGCGGGTTTTTAAAAATCAATTTTCTTGTCTACTCTGTAACAAATAAAACAAAATTTGTTTTATCTATAAACCTTTAATTAATAATTATAATTATCGTGATATTATTGCATACATGGTGGGCAGATTAGTACACCTTACTTCTTAACATAATTATCAATACTGATTATTAGATATTTTATTGATGTTTTCGAGATGAATATCACACAGATAATTTTATTAAGAAAGATAATATATCTTTTTTTTATGAGATTACAAAACTTAATGCTGTATTTTATTTTATGCGGTGTTTTAAAAGGATTTATACACTGCGATATTTGCGATGAAATTTGGACGCAGGATCGAACCCAATCCTCCAGACCACTAGCTAGACTAATGAGGCAATTAAAACATTCATTATAATTCATTATACATTTAGTACTCACCAATAAACCCGCCAGCAAATATTTGTGTTCATCGGCTTTCTTGCCTAAGTAGTAAGTTTTTAAGAGCCAATAAAAACACTGATCGGAAATAAGAGCTGGTATTCATATAGTCTCAATCTCTCTTATGGCAGAAATAATTTATTGAATGATTTGATTTAAGCTCTGTTGCTGAATTTTGTTACTGTTGCTTATATCATTTAGAATCCTCTCAACATAAACTAAAGCATGAGCAAAATCATTTGTCCTCTTAATGCATTCCACAAATCTTTCAATGATATCTCTAATTTTAACATAAGATAAGGCTTGCTCACGGTTAACCTTATCAAACAAAATAGAACAATACTTTTTGTTTCTTCCCAGCTTAATGCCTGCAAATAAAATATGTATGAGTCATTATCAAACTAAAATAGACTGCCAAAAATTAACTTTCCGTTCATATTTTTGTAATGAAAAAAAATAAAACAGTTTTTATTTAAGGCCTGAATAGTATGAATATCAATAGCAAAATTAAGGTGATAGATAAAAAAAGAGTATATTTATAAAAAAACATTAAAAAAATAATATTTTGAGAGATTATATCAACACCTGGTAACTCTCAAACATCAAAGAACTGTACTCAAAACTTAGAGAAGTTACACATTTCTTTTTAATTTATAGTTCTATGAAAATTAATGTGTTATTCCTTTAGTCTGACGCTATATTACATAAGAAGTACTTTACATACCTCTTCTTCTCCTTCGAGATAGGTGAGTTAACACTAGCTTCAATTTTTAATTCACAGATGAATTTATGAAGCAAGGTAACACAGCTTGTAAATATTTACAAGTACCTATAACACTTAAGGCTCTGCTTCAAAATGCATAAACAATACATTTTTTTATATTGCTGTAAAACTAAAATATTGTTTTTTCTGTGTTGCTTGCATGTTTATATGTGTAAAAATTTCTGTAATTTTTGCAAATGACAATTCTATTGAGAGAAATTTGACCAACTTTTTAGCATGTCTACAAAAATTCTTCGTTTCTTTGCCTCATTTTCGTATTATTATAATCAGCAATAAGGTTGTGCACAAAATACGTTTTCTGACACATTTTTGTGTTCGATGTGACAAAATCTGGAATCAAAGTTTTATTTAAAATTTTGTTATAGGACTAAGTATAAAATTATACTAATGTCAAGTAATTAATAGTGTTTATTTATATATTTTAATATTTGTATAGTATATTGTAAGTTAAGTTTTCTCTATTTGTTTTATATTATTTCATCATAACATTATATGAAAAATCTTAGATTTTGTTACTGAATTCATTTCTTCAAAACTAGTTGATGGGAGAACTTTCGGTATTCAAAATATCACATCTGTTTCTTTTAGATGTTAAACTTCTGAAAATAAAAGGTAAAGTCTACAATACCATATACATTTTAAATAAGTGATATCATATTTGTTGTCGAGTTATACATAAGTGACTTTTTGGAACGAAGTTCCTTGTCTCACATCATACTTAGCACACTTGGCGTATGAGATCTAAGAGGAAAAGTGTAATATTTCAACCATCACAACACTTTTTATTTACACTTACTAAGAGCATCCCATGTGTCATCATCATAAGTACAAAGCAATCATAAGCCTTAAGGAATGTATGTAGTAAATTCATATGCACTCTTATGTCGGAGCCATAGATATATAATGGACATTCCTTGAGGTTTGTTGTCCCTTAGTACAAGAGACAATTTTTGTCACTACGGCATAAGCTAAGAGCAGCTCATAATGTGACATTGTCATAAGTATTAAGAAGTATCTGCTATAAGAAATTCTTGTGCACTCACGTTTATGATACCCTAGTGCTCATGATAACTTTTATGACCTAATTTATGAGCCAAAGGCAGAAAGCGAAAGGTACTTTGTTCCTACAAGGTGTCCCATGAAATAATAAATAAATATAATAAATAAGTAAATATACTATTCTTACCAGAAACAGTAGACGCAACAACTCATTGAACAGAATCACCAAGTGGGTTTGTAGTTACAGGGCGAGTTGTGATGTCTTCCACTTAAAAAATATTAAGTACTTGTACTATTAGAATATCTAGTAGGTTTTATATTAAACTATTTTATAAAATGATTATTCTTACCAGGGGATATTGATGCAACATTCTCTTGAAGAGAGTTCTCGGTTGACTCAGTTGTCTTGCAGTAAGTGTGATCATTGTTTAGTCTTGTAATATTTGTGATCAATATTAGAGTCGTAGTTTACTGAAACCATAAGGTACACAAATTACGTAAATAGTTAATTTGTATATGGTTTATTATAAAGTAACTTAATTTCATTAAATTAAATTAATTGAATTTAATTTTATCTATACTATTATATTTTATTATATTAAAATTCTAACTTAGTCAAATCTGTACATTAAATATTTTTTGGAAAGTCTTATTGAAATAGACATTATTATCGATACAGAGGCTGAATCTACAGTTTTTAGAACTTTTGTCTGTCTATCTGTTACCGCATCACAGAAAAGCTACTGAAGGGATTTAGATCAAATTTGGTATGGTCATAACTGGTTATCCGGGGCAACATATAGGATACTTTTTACCATGGGAAAATATCTCATTTCTAAGAAATTTTAGCATATAATAGAATATATCTTTATTGACACAATTCTTTCTTTTTACATAAGCCTGTGAAGCCTTTAACTCCCAAACTAGAATAAACCTGTATGTCAGGAGTCAGGAACTGGTTAAAATAAAACAACAATAATACTACATATATTTTAGCAAGGTAACTTAGTAAATAAGGCAAAAGATATTTAAGATAGCTTATCTTGAAAAATAAATTAAAATAGCGCTATTTTATTTAGTTTTAAGTCATCTGAATGCGTGCAGAGCCGTGGGAAATGCTAGTTTAACTATAAAATAATAAATAGACACTAAGTTAACATACAGGAAATATCTTTGGTAACCTGTTAAGCTGTTGCACCAGCACAGACCCTGAACCTATATGATAATTTCAAAATTGTATGGTTGTATTATACAAGTATATTGCATAATGCACTATACATTAAAATAAACGTGCAGTTATAAATTACCCCTGACTATATGAAATAAAATAGCGCATTGGATAATTAATGTGATTATTAGTTATATTGCACATAAATAACATATAATTTGTGTGCTCGTTTATATCTTCAGAAAAACATACGCTTACCGTCGTGAACATTAGGTGTATCGGGAATTCCATTGAAGATCTCGTCAGCTGTGAACAGGGTCGGATATACTCCACGGCGGAGACGAGTTTTACAAGTGACGAATCGCTTCTCAAAATGTTTCACGCAAAAGTATAGTTTCCAACGATCATTGAAACTTTTTTGATCACCATCAGACACGCACTTTTACAAATTATGGAGTCCTATCTCAGTTGTTGGGTATTGGAACAGTTTAACGTTATTACGCCTACTATCACATCCCAGAACACAACACTTATAAAAGGCCATGATGCAAAGCAATATTGAATATTACTGTTGTACTTTTGAGAGATTGTTACGCATAGAGTATATTGCTACATGTTGTTACGGAAATTAATCAATACAGAACTCACTCGATCAAAACTATATAAAATTAAAAATAGTAATGCTAATGACAATTGTCATTGACAATTGGCATTTGACGAATAACGGGTAGGTAGTTATTTTCTTTGCTATCAAAACATTAGGGATGCGAAATAATAATCGATTATGAGAGAAATCGATTTAAAAAAATCTTTTATAAAAATCGATTTTATTAAGCAATTTCAATATTACAAAAAAGTACCTTTTTTTTCATTCTTGATTTTTATTCAAAGAAATCGGCATCAAAAGGATCTTATTTGTATTACGTAATGATTTTTTCAGTATAAGTCGTTACTAGATTACAATATTTTAAGATATGAATATCTAATAGGTAAATATGTATTTTACGTATCAAAATATATTAGATTTGCTTTGCATCGGCTGGCACCGACTTCGAAAATATTATCTGATAAGGTATCTATTCTAAATGAAAACCCCGTTTAGTTATTTTTGACATTTTAGTGCCTGGAAGTCGTTGCTTATTTTTTTTTAAGTTTTTATGTTGAACTTCGATTTACTTTTGTATTCCTGGAAATGGATGGGCTGTGCCATTGCAGTGTTACTTTCGTTTGAGCAGTATAGGCGGGTTCAATTATGTTGACGTATTCTTATACGTTAGAATAATTAAGCCCAACTTAATATATTTTTTACCATACATGGAAATTATCACGAGATAATTATTTTGTTGGATGATTGATGATGGAAAATAGGTGATAACTGATAAGAACTACATAGCTTCTCATTAGGTTATATCCATACATACTATATTTATAGTTTTAAGACTTTGATTTTACTACGTTATATTAACTAAAATCAAGAACCGAATATTGTCCAAACGCTTATCTAAACTCTTATTCCTAAACGCATTCCCTACGGATTTCTAATTTGTTTTGATTGATTAATTTAAAAATTCTTATTTATGTTGTTTGATACTAAGAAAAACAATCAACTAATTAATAATCGATGTGTATGTCGGATGTTACATCCTTAACCATTATCAAGGATCAAGAATCTCAGAAAGTTTTGCAAAGTGGGGGGAGAGAAGGTAACACCCCCCCCCCTCAAAAATAGTTGTCAAATTGTGATCTTGCGTCTTATATAATAAAGAATAGTCTTGAATAACAGAGATAGACCATAGACATAGAGAGTGGACTGAGTCATCTTTGCCTTCTGGAGGGTAGAGGTATCAGGTAAGGTGTAGACAGACCATATTCTCTATCTACGAGGTAAGGAGACTGGAGAACTAAATGGGACACTAGTTGAAAAAGAGCGTTTTCCAATTACAGCACTAAGCCGCATTATGCGGCATAATGATCAACTATAGTAACTATCCGCACAATCGAGCACTTTGAAAAGTCTTTAAAATCTTGTCCGTTTATAAAATACATTTTTCCTATCGTCAAAGTGTCTAGTTTATGTTTACTTAACAATTTTTATTGAGCTCAATTAATATCCAAATATACTTGTGCTGCGCATGCAGTACTTACACTTTTTATAAATGAAAGATGAAAGGAACATTGCTATAATTAATAAATGAAAAAAAAAAAACATTCTAAAATTCATTTTATAGTAAAAAGTGGAAAATTTGACTGTTTATATTTTAATCTCCTAGAAAAATAAACTTATTTATATTCATAAAAATATATTTTATTTAGCTTTAAAGGAAAAGCATCGCAACATTTATAAATGACATCTCGCTTTTTTATTTATTTATATAAATTAAGAAGTAAAGTAGCCCTACGCTCTTTGATAATATTATAAATTTTTTGAAACATCATCATAATTATATATATACATATAATTTTGACGACGACGTAAGTGGAAATTCCGAAATCACAACTTTGCGCAGCACAGCTGTAACTGACAATAATTGTTAATGGCTTCTGTGCTGAAACACTTTTTGCATCTGTGGAATGAAGTAAACACTCAACATGGATGATTTCTCAATATTCTTGTTCGGTTTTTAGATTTAAATGTATAAAATGCTTTAGTAATATAGATGAGAGTTTTATTATAGTCCTAAAAATGTCGTCAGAAAGGTAATTGCTAACGTCTAACTTACTATAATTTATTATTAATTTGGAATCGTTTCCGAAATTCGGTCGAAAGTTGCAAAATCAATACAGTACGCGGAAATCACTAATGTCACGCCCTGAATTAGTTTGTTGCTGTGCGGTAGTAAATGTGATAAATTAAAACATAGTGATGTTTTATTCTAGAGTCGAATGGGTGGAGATCATAGAACCGAAGACAAAGGAGCATATGTATGCTAACCTAACAACTGGCGAATGTGTATGGGATCCTCCTGAGGTATTTATTATAATTCAACTTTTTACTTCCTGAAGAATTTTATAGACTTTCCTAACCGAACCCACTAAATATTGATTATTAAATGATTTCTACATTTATGTTCATTGTCTTAAATAAATTCAATGTTATAGTTTTATTTATGATATAATTTTTTAATAATTATTAATTTATATTATTACTAGCGACTCACCCTCACTCAGATTGGGTTCGTCCCTAGTCTAGTTACGTTTTAACGTTTAGTATGATTTTGAGAGAAGGGTTATTTTCCCACAGTAAAAAGGTATCCTATATGTTGACCTGTATAACCAGCTATCATCATTCCAAATTATATCATAATCTGTCCAGTGGTTTTCTCGTTATGCGTAAACGGACAGACAAAAATTCTAAAAACTCGATTTGACATCTGTATTGATAGAATGACTATTACAATAAGATTTTCCTAAAAATATTTGTTGTAAGGATTTGACTTAGAATTTTATATGTACAGAAATGGATCCTATTATTGTTAAAAACAAGCAATTATTTCTTTTCTTTTAATAATAGATTATAATGAGTTATTATTGTAATTTTATTAAAACACTGTTCTTCTTTGTATAAATAGTATATAAATAAACAGATATGGTTTTAAGTATTATAATAAAGAAATTAAATGTGGCAAAGGCTTCTTACATTTTCATTGAAGGCAATTCCTTAAGGTTTTTTAAAGTTTGGTTATTCTACCAAGTAAAGAACAATATTTAATTTTAACTTGAGACACTTTTTGAAATGATTATCTTTGTCAATTATTGTAAGAGCAATATTACTACAATTACTTAATAGTACTACTGGTATATGGGATTCATTTTTGGCATTGTCATACCCTATTTAAAATCTTTAAGTATTGAATAAAAGTCTTTTTTTTTTTGCAGGGTGTCAAAGTGAAAAGAACAGACTCTTCTCAATGGTGGGAGTTGTTCGACATCAACACTCATAGATTTTATTATTATAATGCATCTACACAGGTACATAATAATATTTACTGTGTGTTGTAAATTTAGGGCACAGTAGACAATTTTTCATATTATGTATATTTTATTTCAGACGACTGTGTGGCATCGACCTACTGATTGTGATATTATTCCTTTAGCCAAATTACAGACATTAAAACAAAATACAGATCCTCAAAAAAGGCGAGAGACTTCAACACAAACAAGTCAAGCAACACCTCAGGTAACTCTTAATTAGTCATTGTACAAGTTACTTTTTTTAACATTTAAATTTAAATAATACTAGCCACTCACCCTCGCTCCGTTCGGTTTTGTCCCTTGTGAATATTTAGGTTAGGTTTGTATACATTTTTTATGTTGAATCATAAAAAATATAAAATAAAAAAAAAGTCCAAAAAAGAAAAGTATTTTGTGGGGTGGACCACCCTTATACTTTAGGGGTATAAAAAATAGTTTTCGTCCTATTCTTAGACCTACTGAATATACACACAAAATTTCATCGGCCAGTTCAGAATCGGCCAAGCCGTTTTAGAGGAGTTTTGGTACAAACACTGACATGAGAACTTTATATATTACATTTAAAACCAGAATATTAAACATAACCAAAGTAACAGTTCTTTAATTGTAACAATTTAATAGGTGTACAGATATTACGATTTATGAGTTTATAACTATAAATTATATAAAAGTGCTGTTTTTTGGCTGCATGCGAGCAGACCTGACAGACATAATCCTCAAAAAAAAAAAAAATATGTTGGAAAATGCATTTACACATATCACATATTGTTTTCTTAAATAGAAATACAAATATTCAAATTTATAAATTTAATAAGTCATGATATTTTGGAAATATATGGACACATTTTTTTCATATCTTTTTCTTATTCCTTATAAAAAGGGTAAACTAAAAAAAAAGTCCCATATTTTTTATTTAACGATGTGTATGCAAAATTTGTTTCTATTAATATTATAATCAATGTTTCTTTGACACGGATCGTATCCCCCGCGGCATACGCTAGTTCATTGTACTTATCGAGGGCGGAAGTTAGCTCGACCTCTGCCATTGTCTCGATTTTTATCAAAGTGAATGTGGAAAAAAGGTCGCGTGGTAGTAGAAGTCACGTATTGAGGGTGAGGGGTTCTACAATGTATGATATTTTTAACCCTTTCTGAAGTGATGTGAAGTATCTCACCGAAAAAAAGCTTAGTTTTTCTGTTTTATATTGCTATTCTTTATAGTTTATGCCAAAAAAATTATATATTTCGGAATATATTTAAAGGTAACGTAAGGCTTTTTTTATGTGTACCTCATATATACGTCATTGTAGGATAGATGCATAGGGTCGTTATACTGTGAATAAATGACTTATGACTCATACTTTTGTATATACATTAAACTTGTATAAAATTAGTATAATTTTGTTGTACAGGTCCCACCAACATTAGAACCCATCAGTAGCAATGGCAACAGTACGGCGGCGAGTGCCAGTAAACTTTCACCTAGCAATGCCAAGAGCGTCACGATCACACAAACCAGTCCCGTTCGCACGAGGAGAACGCATTATCATCACAGGTAAATGTATAACATATATAGATCTATTTATTTACTATATGATATTATTTTCTGATTGGTCTAATAACTGGCATGTATGGTTGAAGATTCGGAGGTACAGGGTTCGATTCCCAGGTCGGATCAAGTATAGTTATTGCATTTTGTTGTTAAGGTCATCTTATATGAACCTATGTTGTGCCTGTTAGCATGGATTTTTAAAATTAGTAAAAAGTTGTAAAAAAATATAATCTTATGATTTGTTATAAAGACAAAGGGTTCAATTTTTATATTATTGTATGTTAAATGCTGTTCTGATATCTGTTCGTTCGCTTTAATTTTCTTTTTTCTTATAAATAAAACTGTCTTTTTGCGTACATTATAATATAATCAACATTACGAACTTGTACTGAAAACTTCTGTTGTTCGAAACCGTTAATTTTTCAAATCAAATTCAAAATCTATTTATTTGCTTATTTTCGTTTATTTGATTATTATATTTATATATTTTATGTTATATTTTTCAATTTTACAAAGGAACAGCGGCGAGAGCAGACGCGGACGGTTGAGTGAAGATGGTACGGCGCCGTGTCGACACACGGACTCGGGCCGCTCGTCGGACAGCAGCATTAGTAGCGCACAGAGACGTAAACAGGTAAATATTCTATCTTTTAATCTATGTTTCTAAATAAAAATTAAATATTTGATATGAATATACCTGCCTACAAGATACTATATTTAAATAAGAATAATTAATGTATATGAAAATATAAGAAACTTCGTATATTTTCTTTTTTTTTTAAGAATTATTATATTGTATTGAGTTATTAAAAAAGTTAGTTTTAATTCAAATTTATTATATTATAATTATATGATTGACAGATGAATAATAATAATATGGCATTCATTGATAATAAAAAAACTTATACTTACTTATTAACAACTAGCGATTTATGTAACTAGACGCCTAACAGTAGCCTATGTTTTACTTCAGATCCCATCTGTGTACCAAATTTCTAAGTCCAATAAGGCATTTCAGCGTGAAGTAGTAACATACAAATAAACACACAAAGTTTCGCATGAATAATATAATTAATAGTAGTCCAATTGTATGACAACTACAGCAGGAACTAAGCGGCGCCGTGTGCGTGAGCGCGTGCACGCCGCAAGTGCGCAAGCGCGGCAGCGCGCAGCCCGCGCACGAGCCGGACAAGTGGTCGCCGCATTCTGGTAAATACCACCAATATAATGATATGCACATAAACTGCATATATTTTTCTCCTGCACCTCGACTTTAAGCGTGTTTCGTTTTAATAGGCTTTTATAATCACTTACGTTGTTAATTTTAAATATTATAATAACGACAAACCTATAACCTCCTTCATTTTGGAAGTCAGTTAAAATTAGGTATCTATCTATATCTTGGTCCATTAGGAAACTGTGATGGTTCGAAATGGGGATTCTGGGGTATTGTTGTTATACATAATTATTTTAATCAATAAAATTAAAAAATCAAAATAAATTCCCGAAATCATCCGAAAAGATAGTTTTATTTAAAATGTAAAATATTCGCGTAAATCTAAGAAAGTATTATAGGTATATATTTTAATTTATTTTACTATTTATGGATTTGAAATGTAGGTGTCTTAGATGATTAAATGCAAAATAATCTAATGTTAAGATGTCTTCCAGCGATCATTGAAAGAATATCCATTAACAGTGCACGCCTTTGTGATAAAATATACCTATGCAGTATACAATTAGTTAATATATGTATGTATCTATATAAATTGTTTATATAATTTGACAGTTAAATACACACATACCATATTGTGTTACGGGGGCCTCTTAAAAGCCTAGTTTCCAAGTATTTTTGTACCTACCTTGAACATTTTATATCTCTGGCTATCAACTATCTCTATTAATTGTGTAAATCCGTTATTGCGTGGAAGAAGGACAAAACAATAAACTGACAAACACAACCGTATTTACTATATTAGTTTCGATAAACCGCGACCTATAGAGTTATTACTTACTTTTCAAAATCGATAATCATCTAACTATGGAACCTGATGAATTTAAGTTTTTTTTATACGTAATTATAATGATTTCTTTCGCGCAGTGATTTAAGTTGGTATTGTTTATTATATTCGGTACGATTAGCTCAATATGTTCAATTAAGGCAAAAGCATAGGTCTTAAGTCACTGTTGAAGATTCTTCAACGATCCAGTGGCTGTCTAATGCGGCTGCAGATCATGATGGGAGTTTGAGTTCCATTTGGGGCCAAAATAGTTATTACATATTTTGTCGATTAATTCTCAACAGCAGTTAATAATAGTTAAAAAGTAATTATATCTATCCGGTCATGTCAGAGTTGGCAAAAATTAGTATGATAATATACATTTTTTAAGTACTTGAAATATTCTATTTCAATAAAACTTATATATGTACAATGTACATACATATTATATGTATATATTAAAGTTATACTTTTTTTGGCACGTTTGGAAAAAATTGTGAGAGTAAAATTTTTACGATGCGCGCGCACACCGACAGCCAAAAAGCGACATGATGAAGTTAGCTGATAACTGTTGCTCTGGTTCCCGTGAAAACTCATAACTATATTTAAAGTAGTTTCTCAAATATTCATAAATCTATAAAACAGCACGTGTATCGTACAGGTGTATGTATAGGTGGTGATAAAAAATATATTATTTATTTTTATTAATTTATCATTCCTTTTACAAACAGAGAGTTGTGACATACGGGATGAAATCTTTAGCTATTTTTGTTCTGTTACGTCAAAGAAGCATAACTTCTTACGTACGTACATAAGTACACACGTTTTTTTATATTTTTTATTTGTTACAGGCTTAAACCGCAGCGGTAGCTTTATATCACCTAGAAAGGATGCGTCCGACGATTCTATGCACGAAAAATATTTCAAATCCGTTGAGAGTACACCATTAACGAGACGTAAGGTAACATTGACATACATTATAAATTAACGTGCACATAAAAGGGGACTCGGCTGTCACTCATTTGTCTGTCCCTATGATAGACATTCGACATTGTTGTGCGATTATATTATTTAAAATTAAAAAAAACCTAAACGCTTTTATATACAAGAAGTTTTTCATGTATTTTGTATGGAATTTTCTTTTTTAATAATTATTGTTTTTTTTTTGAATTTTACTTGATTTTTTATTCATGTTTTATTTTTTTAATAATATTAATTTATCCAGTTAAAACAACAGTCCGCCGGAGGTTCGTCTTGCGACTCTGCGTCACCTCAGAGTCCCAGCAGTCCACTGCAAAAGCCACAGCCTACTCCATTTTTGCAGGTTAGTTTTAAGTTTGTCAGTGGTATTTACAATACTATAATGGAATATTCTTTGATGAACCCTTCATTCTTTATAGATTATAAAAACATAAGTATTTGAAATTGTCCATTTGGCTCCGAATCTGTGACCTTTAAGTAGTAAGATATTAATGAGTTTAAAACTAATTCGAATACTAAACTGTATTATTATGATGTCTATTACTTCCCAAATGGTAAACCCAATATAAACAAAATGGCGTTGATCTGGCAAAATTTTCTATTTATAGCAATATTGAATTTCAATGTCATTAATATATGTTAGGTTTCAAGGCGATATTATAGGGAATAACAATATGTCCAAATAGAGCTTAAACGGGGCTTTTTTTTTTGAAAAATGTTTAATCCTTGCCGGAAATAAAAAAATATTGATCAATTTTTTAAAAATATCATTCTTTCACCACTATATGTTTTACATTATATCGTTTTAATTTCTGTTCGTAACTGTCCCGTAAATTATGTATTTCTATCGAACTTTTTTGGCGTATGTTATTATGTCCTCGATTTAAATAATTCTTTTTTCAAGAAAATGTCACCTTTAAGAGCGGAATAATTACTTTCAAGGTTATTTTGAATGGGGTAATCTTTTTATTTAAAAATAGATTAATACTATAGCTTGTTTTTTTACATTAAAGTATCAAATTTTCCCAAAGCAAAGACTGAGTTGACTCATCACTACATATTATAGAAAAAAAAGATCCCGACGAATTGAGAACCTCCTCCTTTTTGGAAGTGGTTAATTAATATCCTCGGCCGCGCTGTTTGTTTTTTTCGGGCTAATATTAGAAACTGAACGAGGTACGTTTTAATTTTATGAGCGGAACCCTAATTCTTTTTCTAATATAAAAGTAGCCTAAATTACTCGTTATAACATCAGCTATCTTTCAGTGAAAGACCCGTCAAAACCAGTCCAGCCGTTTCAGAGATTATCCGGAACAAACAGACAGACAGACAAAAACTTTAAAAATAAATTGTGTTTTTCTTATAAATACCGTATATAATTCCATATGCATTTAGTGAAAACTGTTATTTTGACATTACAAACAGACACTTCAATTTTATTTATCTGTTATTTTATATAAAGATGTTGGCGTAAATCTAAATAAAACATGACATTATAAGTATGTTATGTATATATGTACAACTATCGTGACGTGTGTGTGTGTGTGTGTGTGCCAGGCGAGCGCGGCGCGGCCGTCGCTGGTGTCGTCCATCTCGCTGGCGGCGGAGGGTGCGCGCGCGCTGCACTCGCTGGAGCGCCCGCACCACCTCTCGCGGCACGCCAGGGAGCGCTTCTCTGATAGGTGTGTATACGTAACACACGAGTATCCCTTTTATATTGGGAAATCAATTTATTTTATGTGGGACTCACCGGTCAGAAAAAGGTCTAGTACTACCCACTAAAACCCAACGAAACCTCCCCTGTCATAAAAGGGCGTTGCAGGATCGCTTACGCACTCGATCATGGCCTGCCGAGGCAAACCCAAAATAACCAAAGGGTCGCTCTGACGGTCCACTCTGCTAGCAAATAAGTATCAGGAGTAACCCGTATGGTACACCGCACACTGAAACGAGTCAACTCCCAGTGTGTCTTTTGCCTTCGCGTCCGGCGGTATTGTCGGACGCTTATGACTTAGGCCATAGCTCATTGCGATGGCCAAAGGTGGGTTGATAGATTTGACACGTCTTTCAAAAACTAGTTAGTCTTTTAAGACATGCAGATTTCTTATAGGTATTAAATTGATACAACGTATTAGTACAAAGGGTATTCATATCATTAAATAAATATAGTTAAAATGTTTGAGGTGCGAGATAAGGTGTGTATGTACATAACTAAATATTGAATAACTAGCGGCTCACCTTCGCTTCGCTCGGGTTCGCCTAAAGGAAAATAAAAACAAACCTATCCCACGGAAACCGTACATTTTTCCTGAATAAATGTGTTATTTCAGACTATAATCTATCTCTACGCCAAATTTCATCCACATCCGTTCAGCCGTTCTGGCGTGAAAGAGTAACAAACATCCATACTCACAAACTTTCACATTTATAATATTAGTATAGATAGTATAGGTGTATCACTTCGAAAATACTAAATTTATTAATTATTTCCAGGCATTTAGACAAGGAACGTTTGGCAGAATTAGAGAGAATGGAGCGGTACCCGGAGAAACAAGCGGTGTACAGTGTAGACAAGCCCTTCCGCCAGACCAGCCTTGATTTACGTCATAACGCCTCTAGCTGGCACCCGCCGAGGGAGTTTACTAGGTATCTTGTGATAAATAAATATATGAAATAAAATAAAAATTTCTTGTCTTTCTTATAAATACTAAATAGTACTCGTATATAGGCATATATTTTTGTATTTAAGAGGTAAGGTGATGGATATCTATGTAGATGAATAAAATTGAAGTGTATGTTTATAATATCAAAATATCAGCTTTTTACTAAATACATATGGAATTATATGAAGTACTTATAAACAAAAACACAATTTTTAAATTTGTTGTCTATTTGTCTGCTTGTTCCTGCTAATCTTCGAGCCTGGACTGTTTTTGATGGGACTTTCACTGATAGATAGCTAATGTTGTAAGGAGTAACTAATGCTACTTTTATTTTAGAAAAAGAATTAGGGTTCCGCTCAAAACAAACTAAAACGTCATTAAAACTAGTTGTTTTATATGTAATTTAAAAAGTTTAAAAAATTAAGAAACTTTTTAACGCCCGAAGAGCCCGGAACTTTGGAAAGCTTGTTTGGGGACACAGGTTCGACACGTAGAGCCCCTTAAAAGATTCAAGTTTGTTTAATGTGACTATTTTAATAATATTGCTATATTTTATTATAATAATTACTATTTTTTTTAAATGTTTAGAAATGAAAATCAACAAATATTTCAAAGTACTTTGGTGCAATTTTTAATTAAAAAAAAAACATTTTTGAAAAATAGTGGGTAGGCACTGTCTGTAACAAGTATATAAAGCGTTTGAGACATCTACAAACTTAGTCTCTACCGTGACCATGATTGCTGTAAAGCATTCGAAACGTCGGGAACCCAAAAATCAAAATAAATCCGCGAATTAGATAATTCTAAAATATAGTTGTATTTAAAAGGGACTATCTTATGAATGTTTGCAGACGCCAACAAGCCGAGCCCGAGCGCTACACGTCCAGCAAGACGTCGGTGTCGTCGGGCGGCAGCGGCAAGCACCGCACGCCGCCGCACGAGCCCCACAACTTCATGCGTCTATCCTCTGCCAACGATCAGGATAATATAGCTGCTGGTATGTGTTTATGCAATGGAATACCATGATTTAAGAGGGCACCGAGCTTTAAAATTCGCTTTAATGATTCCTATACATTACAATCAGTCAAAACTTTGTATTTTATTATCATACTAGCATTGCCCGCGGCTCCGCCCTCATGCAGATGACCAAAAACCAAATTCTTAGGTTTTACATATCAGTATACTCTTACATTACAGTTTTTGTATTTTTTCTCAGAAATGAGATATTTTTCCGCGGTAATAAGTTGACCCGGATAATCAGCTATGACAATACCAAAATACATCAAAATCCGTCCAGTAGTTTTTCTATGATGCGGTAACAGACAGACAGACAGACAGACAGACAAAAATTCTAAAAACTATAGATTCGGCCTCTGTATCGATAATAAGGTCTATTTCTATAAAAAAAAAAATCTATAAAACAATATTTAATGTACAGATTTGACTCAGAATTTTATTATATGTATAGATAAGTAATACTGTCCATGTGTAAGTGTGCTTGTTATTCTTTTTTTTATCACATTTATACAGTGCAGTAAAAGTATTCTAATTTATTATGAACTTTATATTGAATAAAAGCTATAATTAATTATAAATCATGTTTTATTTACAGTTAATTTCAAGCTGAAGTGCGTGAATCTCGAACCAACTCTAACAGAACCAAATGTACAGAAACACAATCAACGTCTAGACAAATCTTCTACACCGCGGGATCGAACCAAGTCACGTCGTAAGTCAAATTTATGAGTATCGCTCATCGATCTAAAAAGTACTACACACATATACATATACACAATCCCATGCTATAGATTTACTCCAGTAGTACATAGTCTGAACAAGAGCTGTACCGACCTCTTGGATGTCAATAGACTTTACATGAGATCCTTACTTTGGAGTTCTTACGATATTGTTTTATTAAGATTGTATTTATTAAGATGATAAAATTATATATTTATAACATGCGACATACCCTCGCTTCGCTCGCGTGCGTTTTCTGTGTATAAAAATAGTAATTGTGAGTGTACTCTTAAGACACATGCTATTGCGGACTTAAAATAGTAAATTTGATTTTTTTGTGGACACCCTAAATGATTCCGGAATAAAACATACCATATACGTAGCCTTACAAACTCCCTCTATCTTTCATTGAAAGTCCCATTACAATTGGTTAAGCCGTTCCAAAGATAACCCTGGACAAACAGTTTTTTTTAAAAGAGTTGTTTAGGTACTGGTATCATATAAATAACTATATACTTGAGACAACATAATTATTTTAAAATCCCAGACCGACACTTCAATTTTATTTATCTTTATATATATAATTCTTCTGTGAGTGTGTATGTCACTGAACTTCTCTCAAACGACTGGACCGATTTTGATGAAATTTTTTGTGTGTGTTCAAGGGGATCTGGGAATGGTTTAGATTCACAATTTGAATAATAATTTTCATCAAAAAAATTATTAAAAAAAGTTTGAAATTTTCAAATTAAAGACGTGTAGACAGGACAACGTCTGTCGGGTCCGCTAGTGTCTATGTATAGAGGTCTTTGCTCCTTTTACGAAAATGTTTGGCCATGTCATAAATGACGACATGACGTCGCGCGATAAGTCATTCTCTATTTAAAACACTTGTGTACATGACCTATGGAATCTGGTACAAATTAGATGCATCTACAAACTGCTAATTTTCTATTAACTCCTTTATATTATACAAAATAATAATAAATCAGTGATAATAATTCAATTCAATTCATAAAAGTATGCAATTTTTCATCAATGTTTCTTATGACGTTATCATGTAAAATTATCGTCCGTAAACCGACTTTACAGAAAACCGTTTTTTTCCACATAAAACTAATTTTTATTTATCATCGTATATTTTTTTTATGTTAATTTAGAAATCAATTGTATGTACCAGGACATAAGAGGCCGGTAGAAGATGAGCCACAAATAGACGGTGAAGACGACGAAGAAGATGGGGGCGGGTCACCTCTATATTGCAATTGGGATCTGCGGGGCATGCAGCACTTACTGCCTTTGCAAGATTATATTATACAGCAAGCGAAATTATCGAGTAAGTGTTGCTATTAAGTAACCTTTTTTTTTATGTTGGGAAATGCATTTACGCATGCCACATTTATACATACATATGGTTATGTGGGACTCGCTGACTAGAAAAGCCAGTAATAACCACTAAAACCCAACCTGAATCTCAGACGTCTTAATGGGGCGATTTAAGTTTGATTTGAGGTATCATAAAATGGATCTTACAAATCTCATGAAAGATAATTTAATTGAAATAAACATGGCACAGCAGTGTGTAAGTTGAGAGATGCAAGTTCGAAATATTACAAAAATTCATATAAAAAATGATAAAGTAATTTTGCATATTTTCGCTGCCTAGTTAGTTACTTTAGTTTTAATTAAGGAACTACTATATCTTTATATATATAATTCTTCTGTGAGTGTGTATGTCACTGAACTTCTCTCAAACGACTGGACCGATTTTGATGAAATTTTTTGTGTGTGTTCAAGGGGATCTGGGAATGGTTTAGTAGATTCACAATTTGAATAATAATTTTCATCAAAAAAATTATTAAAAAAAGTTTGAAATTTTCAAATTAAAGACGTGTAGACAGGACAACGTCTGTCGGGTCCGCTAGTAGTATACATAACTATTCTTCTTCTATTCTATTGTTCTTTCTCCTTATGCACGGCTTTTTCTGCACTTAGGCATTATTGCCCGTTGTGCGTGAGCTTGTGCTGTGCATAATGTTAATCTTTCAATCCCAGTGTGTCCCAGTAGTCTAGCAGGCTTTTAACTATATTAAACAACGTATACAGGTAGGGGACGTTATAACGGCTCGGACTCGGACGCGGACTCCGCCACGTCGCGGTCCCGCTCGGGATCCGAGTCCCGGTCCCTCTCCGGCCACGAGCCGGACAATGAGTCGTCCGACGGCGGCGCGAGGACGCCCGACGACGACGACGGCTCGGGAGTGTACCTGCCCCATACGTACGCCCATCGGCCACAGGATGTGGAATACATGAACCACGGTGTCTCCTACTATAACACGTTTGTCGGCTTCGAGAGGGATATACAGCCGTCGCCTGGAATACATAGGGTATGATTTGTTTTGTATTATTGTTTTTTATTAATATGTAATTAATCTTTTTTTTAGACGCTCGTATGTGCAGATTTCTAAACCTCAATCCAAAAATATTTGATCTTTTTTTTTGCAATATTTTTTTATGTGTCTGGTTATACTATTTTACATTAATATTTTAAAAAGGTAAAATTGGTACGTTTGGATGTGAGGTTATACTCTGAAATTACTGATGTGATATTAAAAATTAGCACTTTTCTGCTTCACTAAATGACAGTCTTTCTCACCCCCATAGGTTGACTGGAACAGATCTCTATTAGAGATAAGTCCACTTGCCCTCAATTTTTTCCTAACTACTGTACTGTATGTGCAACAAAGAATGCCCGCTTGACTGATTACGGCCACGGTGGCCAATCTCATTGAGAATAGCCAACTGCGCAGGAAATATTATAGTGCACAAGTACGCCCAAACGCAAGTGCACTTCCTATTCCTGTCACTCTTAAAGACTGATGGGACGAGTTTTACATGCTTATCGAAGCATGGGGGTGAGATACCGCGAATTTTCTAACTCCGGGCTGTTACTGAGAATTGCTTGACAGACATATTCATTAACTAAATTTGGCCTGACCCGGGATTCGAATTCACGAATTGCTAGTACATATTACGTTGGCTTACTATCACAAGGTTCTATGTTAATTTTAATGAAGTTTAGTAATTTTTATATAGAACTTTGTAATTTTGTTATCTTAAAAAAAACAACATAGAACTATGTAAAATTGAATATTTTGTAGTTATAGTGCCGCTATCTAGTGGTTTGTTTTTGCAAAACTGTAGCTAAAGACACATAGAACCTTGTAGCATTAATAACTAAATAAGTATTAAAATTGTGACATAGAACCTTGTAATAGTGAGCCAGCGAATTATCTAAAGTGTAAGTATGTGTGACAGACGTCGTCGCTGGGCGGCGGCGGCGGCGGCGGCGCGGGCGAGGCGGGCGCGCGCGACCCCGCGCTGTACAGCCCGGTGCGCGCGCACGCGCGGGCGCAGCCGCCGCCCGAGCAGGACATCGAGATATTCGCCAAGGACAACCTTAATTTCAACAAGGGGATATTTAGGAGGAAGGTACGTTTTTAACTGACTGACTTCAAAAAAAGTAGTTTTCCAATTTGGTTGTGTTTTTTTTTGATAAGTGTGTTTTTCTGTGTATGGTAAAATATCTTATTGAAATACATATGTATATGTAGGATCCGGGAATACTATTCAAAATACTCAATAACACTCGGACAATTTGTGTTAAAATTACAGGAAACCACGTTTACGCGGAACGTCGTGCCGCTGTTATTTCAAATCGTTTTTTTATTCCTTTCTATTCTTAAAATAATATACGTCTCTTTTTAGTTTAAAAATATTTTTCACGCCTCAGACTAAAAAATAATATATAAACATTGTCATAGAACTAAAAAACTAACTTTTAAAATAGTATACAAATGAATAAATAATTATAAGAAAAGAATAGCTGACGTATTTTATTATAAAAATAGAAAAAATAATAAATAACATTGTCATATAGCGCCATCTCGTAAATGTTTGTGGTACTTGCAATGTCAATGGATGATAATCTACTGGACACAGTGTCTATACTATATAGTAGGGTAAAGCGAAAAAAAATTATTTTGCATTTTTTCTTAGCTTAGGGATATAATTTGTAGCTTATTCATTTTTATTTTGAAATAAAAAAAATACTCAGCATTTTGAGGTGGCCCAATGATTTTTAAAAAAATTACTTTAAATTTTTGGTTTGAATGAAAATTTTTTTCGACTGTTCTTTGAAAACATTCAAGAGTTGACGAATATAGTAATTTTCTATCCAACTTTCACTGAAATTTTAAAAAAGATGAAAAAATAACATGTTAATTTTTTGTGTATTTTTTTTTCGCTCCACCCTACTGTATAGTAATAAATATACTAACAAAATGCGACAATGATATAGGGATCCCTGTTTTGGATGATAACCTACTGAACACATATGTATGTATGTGTATAGTAACGTATAATGTATATACTAACAAAAGTTCCCATATGAACACAGGCGTCAGTCCGCGACATGCTGTCGTGGACGTCGTCGTCCATCAGCGCGCCGATGGTGGGCGCGGAGTGGGACAAGGCGCACAAGAAGGCCGCCACCGACCTGTTCCGCCTCGTGCAGATATACATGGGCGACCGCAAGGCGCGCCCCGGCATGACGCTCAACTCCGTCGCGCAGGACATACTGCACGCTACCTTCGGCAATGAGAAGTATGTCTGGTTGTGTCATTTATTTATAGCTACTATGATATAAATGTCTTATTGCCTTTAGTATGGTTCTGTTAAAGGTTTAAGTTGTTCATGTATTATTAAAAATGCAAATGGCGGATTTCAGGCGCTAACTTTTGTGTCTTTAATTTTTTTTTCTTCCAAGCCTATCGAGTGGGGTGTCAAAATAAGGACTTTTGAGAGACGATCACAAAAATATATGTAACTTGTATGTTTAACAGTAATTTAGGATAAGAAATTGCTAAATAAAATTTCAATTTCTACATCGCACGAAGCAAGATTCGCAGCAAGTCTAAAACATGTATGTCTACGACTGCAATACTATGTCAACTTATTCTCAATTTTTAGTTCGTGTTTTACGCAGTCGGGTTTTTTATTTTTCTAATTGATTTTTTTAGCGACCTACAAAATAATTATGCATAATACGTCTCATAATATTTCAGTCTCATCGCTCGCTCAGTAATAACTAAAATTAGATTAAATAAAAAAGAAGAAAATTTAGAAAAACGTCTACAAAATCATATCACATAAATGAACAAATTCAATATAATAAATCCGATGTCAATGTTATCTTACAAATAAATAAAATCGAAGTTTCCGTTTGGAATGTTAAAATAACAGCGTTTTATAAAATAAGTATGACCGTATATACGGTAATCATTTGAAATATTAAATATATATAATATATACGACTGACTGACTAGGCTACGCGACGAGCTGTACGTGCAGCTGTGCCGACAGACGACGGAGAACCCGCTGCGCGACTCGCTGCTGCGCGGCTGGGAGCTGCTGGCCGTGTGCCTCGCCTTCGTGCCGCCCTCGCCCGCCTTCCAGCCCGCGCTCACCAACTACGTCAACCGGCACCGGGACCCGGCCTTCGCGGATTGCTTCCCCGAGGTATCTTATGTATACTTTCTTAGAATTACGCGAATATTTCGACATTTTAAATAAAACTATTTTTTTGTTTTTTTTGCGGATTCTTTTTTAATTTTGATTTTTGGTTGTCGATGTTTATAATGCTTTACGGCGATCATGGTAACTGCAGAGATTAAGGTTTTAGACGTCTCAAAGATATTTGTATTTGTTACGGACAGTGCCTACCGATGATTTCAAAAATATACAAAAATAACACCAAAATACTTTACAATACTTATAATTTTTTATTTTAAACAGTTTTTATTATTTTAATACTTTTTATAATTATTGAATTAGCGATTCACTCGCGCTCCGCTCGGGTTCGTCCCTAATTAAGTTTTAATATTTAGTATACATTTCTCAAAGATGAGATATTTTCCCGCAGTTAAAAGTATCCTATGTCATATCAAATTTAATCAAAATCTGTCCAGTGGTTTTCTCATGATGTGGTCACAGACAGACAAAAAAAAACGAAAAGATTCGGCCTTTGTATCAATAATAATGACAATTTTAATAATATTTTCCAAAAAATATTTAATGTACAGATTCGACTTCAGTTAGAATTTTATTATATGTAAAGATATTAAAATATTTTAATCCGTAAAGATAGTTTTATTTAAGATGTACGTTATAGTATACAGTAAAAGTAGTAAAGAAAATAATCTATAACGACGTCGACAGGTGGGAAAGTGGCCCATCCACGTTCAAGTGTCGCACTACGCGAGCGTCGCGTGCAAGCGGCTGGAGAGGATCGGCTTCGGGGGCAAGCGGCCGCCGCGGAAACCCAGCACCGAGGACATCGACCAGGCGCGGGTGAGTGTCCGGCTGCTCCTGCTACTTCTCTGACAGCAGGGTGGACCGTGGAGCAACCCCGTGGTTGTGGTGGTCTGCTTCGGCAGCCCTGCCGTCGGGGCGTCGTAGTTGAATGCGTAAGCGATCCTGCGACGCCCCATTAAGACGGGGAAGGTTTCATTGAGTTTTAGTGGGTAGTACTGGCTTTTCTAGCCGGTGAGTCCCACATCATGACTTGTATTTGTACAGGTGGTATGCGTAAATGCATTTTGTGTATCCTACTAATCTATTCTTATATCCTTATTTATACTATACTTGGAGAAAAGAGTTTGTTTGTTTGTCATCTTTCACGCTATAAAGTGGCTATAGATTGATTTATAGCATACAGTTGTATACAAAAGGGGTAAATTTCGAATAAGCAATAACCTATGAATTCGTATACATCTTCCTTTTGGCATTTTATATGTTGGCTTTAAAGATTAATGTAATCTTATGTCCATACAACAAGTTATCAGAGGTTAAAAGTCACGAAACTAGTTTTTTATGTATTTCTTAGTCTCTGAATGCGTTTCACACGAAAAGTGTTTAGTGGATTTTAAGAAAATTTTGTGTAGCGATAACTTATTACTCGGGTCAACATTACAACATACGTTCACTACCGGAAAATCTTTCATTCTCACGGGAAATCACAATAACAGGTTCTGTCGAATAAATTATCTTTAGAAATTTACATGGCTAACGTTTGTGTATTATAAAATTTAACATTTGAAACTATAGACACAATATATAAGTAGCACTCGTAGGCGTTCGTTTTATGTGAATCCATTTCCGTGTAACATTATTGAATAGTTGCCAAATACTAGTTTTATTACATATACATACATATAATGGGAAATTTTTCGTTGAATTTCATGTTACTAAAATACTTTGATATTTTTAAACATCGAATTATTTTTCCTCTTTATTCAGGTTTCTTTAAACGTTAAAATAATAGAAATAAACTAGCGACTCACCTTCGCTCCGTTCGGTTTTGTCCCTATTTACGTTTTTACGTTTAGTATAGATTTCTTAGAGATTTATGCGGTCACTGTCCGTGACGGAAAACAGACAGACAGACAAAAATTTTAAAAACTATAGATTCTGCTTCTGTATCGATAATAATGTCCATTTCAATAAGATTTTCCAAAAAATATTTAATGTACAGATTCGGCTTAGTTACAATTTTATTATATGTCTATCTATACTATTTTTCAATATGTTTATTATTTAATATACATTTTAGTGTACAATATACACTGGCGTGCAAAAAAATTATGCTTAAAATTAAGATTTTAAGCAGAATTTTTTGTTGACAATTGTTTGGTTTTGGAAAAAAATACCGCAAAGGTAATTAAAGAGATTAGACGCCTTTGTTTCCTTCAAAAGTCATATAATTCCTGGAAATGCACGTGTGCGCTTAATTATAGTCAATTAGCAGTAATTAGTGAATATTTGCATAATATGGATTGAAGCCACAAATACTGTTTTTTTTTACAACTGCCTCGGTGGTGTAGTGGCTAACATGTACGGCTGCACACCCGGAGGTCTTGGGTTCGAGTCCCGGGACGGGCCAAGTGTAGTTATCGAGTCTTTCTGTATAGTAAGTCTCAGTAACAGCCCGGAGTTGGGAAGTTGGCGGTGTTTCACCCCCGTGCCTCGGAGAGCACGTAAAGCCGTCGGTCCTGCGCCGACACTCTCACTGGTCCTGTCGAGTGGTCGTCCCACCGGAGTATGAGAGTGATAGGAATAGAGAGTGCACGTTGTGTCTGCGCGTACACTTGTGCACTATAATATCTCCTGCGCAATTGGCTTATCTCAATGAGATTGGCCGCCGTAGCCGGCATCGGCTAGGAGAACATCATCATCACTGTTTTTTTGTTATTTTAGAAGCTTAGTTGAGTTCAAATTGTTCTCTCAATAACAAGACACTTCTACTTTGATCTGCGATTATTAGAAATACTGCAAGATGGATCTGACCGAGGCTGAATCATCTCGAATTGTGACTTTGCTTGAAACTGGACAAAGTCAACGTCAAGTGGATCAAGCTTTTTCTGTGAGCCGTTCTACGGTCCAGAGAGTGTACAAACGTTACATAGAGACTGGTGGCTTTGTACGACGACATGGTTCCGGCCGACGAAGAGCCACATCAGAGCTTGATGATCGATTTATTGTGTCATTAGCTCTAAGAAATCGTCATCGCACAGGGGTTGACGTTCGAAATCTCCTGAGAGAAGTGAGAGGTGTTAATGTTAGCGAGTGGACAGTAAGGCGCCGACTTAGAGCCGCTTCCCTGACGCCACGCAAGTCCGCAACTAGCACCAAACTCACCCCTGCACATCGAATTGCAAGATTACTTTTTGCCCGAGATCACGTGAATTAGAATTTGGAGCAGTGGAAGAAGGTTCTTATTACTGACGAAAGCAGAATGTGTTTGCATGGTGCCGACGGCCGTAATTTTGTTTATCGGCGACCAGGTGAAAGATATGCACCATGCACTATGCGGGAAGCAGTGTCATATGGAGGGGGCTCAGTTATGTTTTGGTCAGGATTCTGTTACGAAGCGAAAACCGAGCTTATATTCATAGAAAATGGATCCCTTACAGCCGCTAGGTATATAACGGAGGTTTTAGAAGATCACGCGATGCCTTTTACTGGGTTCATTGGAGAAGATTTTCTGCGTCTACAACATAATGTTAGCCCACACACTGCTACATCAGTAAGGCAGTATCTTCAAGATGTCGGAGTGTCTACTATTGCCTGGCCAGCGCGAAGCCCTGACCTCAATCCGATAGAGCATGTATGGGGCCATCTCAAAAGAAAAGTTAGAAGTCGCATAGTAGTCCCGAGCAACATTTAAGAATTAAAAAGCGCCTTATTGGAAGAATGGGAGTCTATTTCACAAGATTATCTAAAAAAGTGTGTCAAATCTCTGAAAAACCGATTAAAAGCTGTCATTAAAAATAGAGGCGGTAATACATACGCATTATTAAAAATCATAAAACCAATCGAAATCTTTTAATTTTCCCATTAATTTGCGGCTTACATTTTTATACCAAACTCGCGAAAAATCATTAAATTTGATTTTCCTCTATTTTCGAGCAATCATTTTTATTTACATTATTCAACGATTGTTGATTTAGGTACCTAGGGTATACGGCTACCCATATATAATAACAAAATTCATTAAAAATATCATATCTTAAGTTTGTCCATTTTCTCTAGGTGGCCCGATTTTTTTGCACGCCAGTGTATATATACACTATACCATATTTCTACTTTTGTCTATTTTTATTCTAAACTAGGAAATTTTATCAAAACTAAACGCAGCTTTACATAGTGGGTTTCTACCCACTACTGATTATATAATTAATGTATTATTTTCTTCTAAAATACTTTATGAAGTAAAAATGCAAGATTGTAACAGCTTTCTCCTTACACAATAAAAAAAAAACACAAAAAATAACAGCATGATCATAAAAAGGCATGGAAAAAACGTCTGTGGTATGTTTCATACCGTCAGTGTGCTTTTGCAGCACAGTTGAGTGTTCACAGTAAAGTTTACTCACACTTTTGACTTACGTTATAAATTACTAACGTCTCACTCTCGCTTTGCTCGGGTTCGCCTCTAGGAGGCTAAAAAAACAAATCTATCCCTCGGAAACCGTATATTATAAAAATCCAAATCCGTTCAGCCGTTCTGGCGTGAAAGAGCGACAAACATCCATACTTACAAACTTTTAAATTTATAATATTTATATAGATTCCCTATCAAATATTACGTCAAACGCTATTCTCAAGTCAAGCATCCTCATTCAACTACCCTCAAAATCATGTATAAAATATCACAAATGGCGACACAATTAATTTTTATTAATTATTCTCTAACATATTGTATAAATTACTATATTATGATGATAACCAGATCCAAATCTTCCGTCAATCGATGTTCGGCAACACCCTCGCCGAGGTGATGTCCCTGCAGCGCGAACGGTTCCCGCAGCGCGCCCTGCCGTGGGTGCAGACGGCGCTGTCGCAGCAGGTGCTGGCGCTCAGCGGCCGCGAGACCGAGGGCATCTTCCGCGTGCCGGCCGACGTGGACGAGGTCAATGCCCTCAAAGCCAAAATTGATAACTGGGAGCTACCTGATGCTTCTATGCTTACTGGTGAGTGATCGATTTTTCGTCTGTTTAAAAAAAAACGCTGTGAATTTTGAGGCTTAGGACGTATTTCACGTGCAAGCCGATTTGGATGAGGTCAATGAGCTAAAACCATGTTTATTGTTCCTATTGTTGTCCTAAAGGCGATGTTTAGTTTTCCAGGCTTTTCTAATAATTCATTAGCTATATAGTAAATTAAAGTTTTCAAATATTTAGTACCTTAAGATGAACGCCTGGTACTTATGAAGACGTCACACGAGGTGCTTTCAGTAAATAATAAAAAGTTTTATGACATATTAAATTTTACATTTTTTTCTGTCAAGCTCTCATGCCAAGTATGTCGAGTAACGTGCGATAAGTAATTTCGTCTCAATCTATACTCTTTACAGATAAATAAGTGTCTGTTTGTAATGTCAAAATAACAGCTTTTTATTAAATGCATATGGAATTATATATGGTATTTATAAGAAGTCTGTCTGTTTGTTCCGGCTAATCTCCGAAACGGCTGGGCCGATTTTGACGGGACTTTCACTGACAGGTAGTTGATGTTATAAAGAGTAACTTGGCTACTTTTATTTCAGTAAAAGAATTAGGGTTCTGCTCAAAAAAATTAAAATGTACATAGGGACGAATGATTCGCTAGTATAGCAATATAACTAACTATCCGCACACAGACGCGCACGCCCCCGCCAGCCTGCTCAAGCTGTGGTACCGCGAGCTGTACGAGCCGCTGATCCCGGACGCGCTGTACGGCGCTTGCGTGGCCGCCGGCAGCGACTTCGCCGCGTGCACGCGAGCGCTGCAGCGGCTGCCGGCGCTTAATAGATTGGTGAGCCTATACTATGTTAAAGGGGCCTGAATAGTATTCCCACTGCCGGAGGTGGGCCTCCCTTTAAAGTTAGTGTGAGTTATTTTTTTATTTAATAAAAAAAATATATATTGTAACAACAATAGCGCCTGCAAGATATATTAATAATAATAAAATGTACTATGTACATACATATATAATGGCAGTTATTTTTCTAAACCATTTTATCCGGATGTTTCCTTGAACTAGTAAACAATCCTAATTGGAAGTAATTTTTCGATTTTTTTTAATTTGATTTTTAAAACCTGTTTCCTAACACTCCATAGATTAGTCCCAGTTCAGCTGACATTATTATTGATATTATACTTAAACTCAAAGATGACTTACATAAATATAAACCATTTATTTCCAGGTACTTACATATTTAATAAGCTTCCTCCAACAATTCTCCGCGCCAGAAGTGGTGAGTCAGACCAAAATGGACTCATCCAACTTAGCAATGGTCTTCGCACCGAACTGCCTCCGCTGCACGTCCCAGGACCCGCGGGTGATCCTGGAGAACGCTCACAAGGAGATGACCTTCCTCAAGACCCTCATCACGAACCTCGACACATCACACATACAGGATCTACTGTGACCGATGAACATAAGCTATTGCAACAACAATGTTGCCAGGCAAGCTTTCTAGCGACGCGAATACCGGTTCTCATTGGAAGGGACCTGATTATTGCGTTACGGTGTTACCATTGTTATGGACTCGTATTTATTTATTTTATTATTTTATGTTTTCCCCGTCTGCTTCTATTATTCGATATTGCGAATTTGTTGCTACTTATGAATTGTTTAATTTAATTATCTATACATAATTTTATTGCTGCATTGATATGCTACAGTGGAAATGGTATATGTGACTCGATAGTACGCTCAGATCAAATATAAATTAGCTTAAAATCAGTTTAAATAATTTCAAAGTATTTGATGATTTACCTAATGATTTATTTTACTGATTTCAATAAGTTGTAACTTTCCATGATCTTAATAGATCTTTTCTGAATCTCTTAGATCTCTTCCTATGACAATTGGTATGTTTAAATCTCTTTTAGTGAATCTAATGCGAGTCTCTAGTGTGTGTGTAGTAATATTTGGAGGGATACCCTCTCTCTTGATATCAATTAAAAAATAGTACTACTACTATGTAAAAAAGTCTCGACGTTGTCTATGGTCGACATTAGGTGAGTGTACACACAATATTGTATTCCCTTGATTGAATTATATTCGACATTCTTGTATATTTTTTGTATTTTTGTACGCTATTATTTTATTTGGTCGTATCCAAAGATATTTAATGAGATGTGATTTTTAAATATATTTAGACTTGAGCTTTACAAAAGTATATGTGCAATGTTCCGCGCTGAGTTGTTAAAGGAACAGTTGGGTGTTTGTTATTAGTTATAGTTTGTGTGGGGCATGAACGGTATATTAATTTAAGTTTTATTTTTATCTCTTAAGAACACTATTATTACAGTATAAAAATCCATACAGTAAGCAATCATCCATTGATTTTAAAGGAAAGGTTATTTTTAGGGTTGTCAAATACAAAAATATAAGTTTCCAAGTTAAAGCCTACAACCCTAAAGCCGTTTCCCGACTGTCATATAAAAGTAAGTATGGGAGTCGGGAGCGCCTGTTGCACAATTACTCAGTCTACAAACCTTCATTAGACGACTGTATGGATTTGTAGACTGTGGTATAACATTTAAGTGCGTACGCACTGGAACAAAACTTCGACGAATTAAAAATTAATACGGAAAATTATTAGCTTTATGAACGGACACATCACGATTATTATACGCGTATATCAATTAGGCCAATCGTGTAGTATCATCGCATCGCTTTAACCATTAATGCTTTGTCGTTCCTTATATTGAATTTGTTTTATTAAAAGGCTGTTGTTTATAGTAATTTAAATGAAACGTTTGATGGCAGTGATTAAATTATATCAAATATGTAGTGGCTGGGCGTAGGTTCTCGTCCAGTAGGTTATGTATCCATATTGGTAATAATGCAAGTACCTCTCACATTTACGAGATGGCGCCGTATATCATTATCAGTATGAGAGCAGATAGAAAAAGGCTCCAATTATAATTATATATTTTTTTGTCAATTATTGCGTTCTTTTCGGAAAACACACCTACCTATTTATAAAAACGATGATATGACAAACTTAAAAAACAATACCTTATCTAAATACAAAATTTGATCAAAATCGTTAAAGCCGTTTCCGAGATACACAAAATATATTTATATACATACATATATACAAGAATTGCTCATTAAATATTATAAGATAACGAAACCTATAGAATGCATTAATCTTTACTGTTTTAAAATATCTTTTATTTATTCCCTTTGGAACTGTTTGTTCTAGCGCTACATAAGACATCCTTAATTATGAACAATGTACTTGTGCTAACTCTAACAGATAAAAAGTAATGGTTTTTTTTTATATTTTTATTTAAACAATATAAAGGATAACTATATTTATTTTCGTAAAAAATGAGTAATTTTATTTAAGAGCAAAACTTTCAACAACCTTATTAGTTTCACCAACTTTATTTGATTCCCCATACAAACTTTCATTCCCAGTTTTACCCCTTTAAGGGGTGATTTCCAGGATAAAAAGTATCCTATGTCCTTCCCAAGGTCTTAAACTATCTTCATACCAAATTTCATCTAAATCCTTTCAGTAGATCCAGAGATTACCCCCTACAACGTCACAAACTCACAATTCACAAACTTTATACTTCTTATAATATTAGTATAGATAAGAATTGAACATGACCAAACTATTGTCGTAATTCAAAACATATTTATTTTTAATTTATTAGACAACAGCTTATAATAATTTTATATTTTAATATATAAAAGAAAGTCGTGTTAGTTACTTCGCTTATAACTCAAGAACGGCTGAACCGATTTAGCTGAAAATTGGCAGGGAGGTAGTTTAGAGCCAGGAGAAGGACATAGGATACTTTATCGTTCGACCGCGTTCCAATTTTTATGATATTTTAATTTTTGGATTTCTCTTAGTCCGGAATAGGTAAGTATTAAAACATATAATTAAAATGTGAGAAAGAAAGATTTTTTCTTTTTATATCTATTTAAAACGTACCTAGCGACGAACCCGAGCGAAGCGAGGGTGAGCCGCTAGTATTTTAATATAAGGAACCAAAATAATAGTTTACCTAAAACATGACAATTCTACCTTTACACAAACACATATTTTATTTTGCTGTCCATTTAAGAATATGTAAGTAAGTGATGGTAATTCTAAATGAATTAAATATATAATTAGCTATTTTTATATAGGTTGGTTGGTTTCATCACAAGAAGCAAAGTGTGTGAATAACCTTTGATAATGTTATGGTCACAATAATGCATTTATTTTAATTATGTAAATCTTTTATTTTTATATTAATAACTAATCTAGAATAAGAAGTGAATCAGAAGATATAAAAGTAAAGAATATAAAAACAAAATTTGTTTCCACGGTAATGACACAAGTAACGGTAATGAACTCCCTCGAAATTGTCGTTTTTGCATATACGGTATATAAATATACGCGAACTATTTATACACAAATTGTTATTAACAATATAAATCATATAGTGTTTACATTTCATCTTATATACTCAGGTCGATCTTATATGAAAATAAAGTTATATACGAGTAATATCTACTGTTTTTGTCGATAGCAATTAGCAATCTATCATTTAAAAATGAATAATATTGATTGCTTGAATAATGGCGGTGATATGAATCCTTACAGGCATACGTAGAACAAACTGCGACCAATAAATCTAGTATTTAGTTTGTTGTATACAGGTTGTCCCAGAAAGTAGTGTTAAGCGGAAGTCCAGAAACAGAGCACCTCTTGGGGTACCCGAATCACGTCATTTTTGCTTAGTTAACACCTCCAGGTAAATTTCTAAGAAATTTATTAAATTTCTAAGAACTCTATTATTAATGTCCGCGGTCGTGGAGGGATTAACAAGCGAATTTAACCTTAGGAATAATAAAATTGCTAAAAAAATTTTTTTAACCAGATGGCTCATTTTAAGTATTTTCCACCTCGCTATCTTTGAAGGCCATTTTTTTAGGATTTTAGCCAATGTAGCCTATTAAGTACTACTTTTTTTTAATGATTATCAAAGTTGAAAGTTTGTAAAACTTTTGAGATCTACTTAGGAACTATGAAATCACCATGAAGTTACGAAGCTGGTCATTTTAAGCGTAACAGTATAACTCATGAAGATTCAGTTGTAAAAAAATCGCGAAAAAGTCTTACATTTTTTTAGAACTTTTTTAAGTTGTTCAATTTGAGAATTTTCAAAAATTCACAAAAAAATTATAACTCAAAAACTATTAACAATCGCGTAATATACATGGGGATGATTCGGGTACCACAATAGGTGATCTATCTCTGGATTTCCGCTTGACACTACTTTCTGGGACATTCTGTATATATCAAAATTCGAGCAATAGGTATATGTATACCTAGTACTAAACTGCTTTCATTAGTTCCGAAAACAGCCACCAGGGAAATCTAATCCTGTGCCTAAAGCACAATTTATTTATGACTCATACCCTCGGATAGCTTGCCAGGCATATAATAGCATTTCCTTATAATACGCTTATTAAGTCTTGAGCTATTTAAAGCTTTATTATTTATATTTTTTTCTTTAAAACTTTTTTTAGATTCACCCGGATATTTGACTTTTGAAATAAAACTATCTCAACGGTTTTTTTTTGGATTTATTTTTATTATCAACTTTGGCTACCGACGCGACGTTTCGAATGCTTTACAGCAATCGTGGTCACGGGAGAGAGACAGTTTAAAGTTCATAATATTTCGCTGTTTATATAAAAACTTTTTCGAATTCTCCTCATCGCGCTATGCTTGGCAATACTATGTTATATACAAATGATGTTAAGGGTTATACTAGAATAGTTGATTTTTATACTAGATCAGCTTGCATCGATATATAGACAATCTCATATAAATCGTTGATAAATTCCTATTGGTCATATTATGATAATATAAACGTATTTTTATTAGAAAAAAGGAAAAAAATGTAATAAATAACATAAGATACTTGTTGAATGCAGCTATTTATTAATATTTATAAAGGTTACACTAAATTTTAATTTGAAATTGTAATAGTCAAATATATTAAAATGTAAAAAAATTACTTATTGCTTACCTTGTTAGGTGGTTCACCTTGGTAGCTGGTAACGTCACAACTAATTTCGTCTTAGTTTTTACAATTTTAGCACATATATAATTATAATTTTGATTGGATATGAGATAAATGAAGAAATTTTTAAAACTGTTAAATAATTTAATTTGCCTCATTTTTTGTCTCTGACTGCTTCAGAAGGAATATTTAATGCTTGATTACACAATATGAACTTCGCGGGGTTAAGCTTGAAGATTATTTGCTTGTAGATTTCGATTAGTGATGTAAGGAATGTTCGATTTTTAATATTCGCGAATGCGAATATTAAAAATCGCCAATACGTATGCGAATGGTGACTTTCAGATAAAACGCGCGAAAAACGTTATACAGACAG